CAAATCCTCTTTCAAACAATTATGTTGTTTCACTCTTCCTCGAGTTCCACTCTGCTACTTAGAAATGCCCGGTTCTGTGCTTCGAGAGAGCCCATCAAAGTCTCTGATTAATCAATAGATTCACTGTTAAAAACTTTATCTCCCGTGTCTTTTTTAGTTCTTCGCCTTTGTTCCTATGGAGAATGCCTGTAAAATGAAACCACTTTGCCAAAGGCGTGGTATCCCCGTTCCGGCTGATGAGCCTGGATCCCCTGATCTGGTGTGAACTCCCTTCTCTCCAACTTGCCTTTGCTGCACCTCCCCCCCTAGTTTTTCTGTTTTTCTTTAGTCCGATGCTTTTTGTCATATCCCAACTACTTATGTCTTCTTTTGCACTCGCTTTTCTCAGATTCCTCCTGAATTTTTTTTCTTGCACTCAGAGTCCAGGAACACATCAAATCTAGTTGCATATCACAATGTTGACGACGTTTTTTCTTGATATTGGAAACGAGGCGTACCGAGCCTTCACTTTCCTCCTTTTGCTAGCCTACAGCTTTCTGCCCGTGTATATTTTCTCCTTGGTTTTGGGCTTTCAAAATTACTTCTCCGCTTTCCCACGCGACGAGAACTTAATCCGCTTTTTCACTTTGTCCTCCCTCTTTTAATTTATCAGTGCATTTGACTGTTGTTCTAATCATGTGATACCTGAAACATATCGTGGTGTTTACTTTTCTCGTTGTACTCAATCACACTATCTTCACGCCGTCTCGTCAACTTCTTACTTGGACTCTGGTCATGTTTAGATCTGCTCTGGTCTCGTGAGCTGCAACATCCCAAAGAAAGCTTAACTTCTGGAGCTGGCGGGAAGATGCCCTCAGTTTCTTTTCTTCAACGCGGATCGAGTCTGTGTTTGGTTCCCGTGTTGCGTGTAATGAACGGTTTCTGGGTGTTTTAGGTCGTACGAGAGCTACTTATGTCGATCTGGCGAAATACCGCCTTTTAATGCGGCTTCACACCCACTCGCACTTTCGGATGAGGCTCTTTTCGCAGATAAGCCGCGAATGACCATTCCAGCCTTCTTGTCCTGCCATCAGACTAGGCCTGCGGGATCCCCAACGAAGCGTTGGATGTTCCCAATCGCAGCCGACCGTGTGAGTCCATGACCCAATGCTAGCGCAATGGACTGCAAGCTTACCGAGATGGGTCGAAGTCCTTGAGATTGGAGGACGCTTTGCTGACGTTGCCAAGTAAAGTAGTGTGTCCTGTCTTCGTCAACAAATTGGTTGGTGTTGTGTTTGCCTAACAGGTCTGTCTAGTCGGCATGTGAGTACACTTGGCGGTTCAATAAATTGGTGATACCTAGGCTCTAACTCCGGTTTTATGAGAAAGTACTTGCCATGTTCATGGTGTGACCTTTTGCGAGTCGGATTAGCGTCGCACGAATTACCATAGTTTCGTCTTTCTAGCATGCAGGATTAGAGCGCCTTTTGGAGCGCCACAGGCGAGTTCATTCGGTCCTTGGCAGATATTAGCATAAAACAACTTCCCTGTCATCACGCCTGGCCTAAATGGTATATCGTGTTTGTGAATCCCTGGGCGACTGGACGCTTAGTCTAAGTCTGCAAGGTGCTCTCCGTTGGATGTTTGCATTTACTATTTCTCGGCGTGCATTGCTTTTGGACATGTTCGCCATCATTTAGAACTCTGGCTAACGCGTCAAGTCGTATTTGCTATTATTTTATTAAAACCTCCGTTTTTTGGTAACCACAGTCATTACGATACACGAGTACGTCAATTAAGGTCAGCCAGTTGTTTTCTTTCCAGACATAAAATTTGCGATGGAGGATGAAGTAAATAACCAGCTGACTTTACATAATGTTTTCGTCTTCCACAAAGCTTGTGGTCGTCTAAGATCCCATGGTTTAGGAAAGCGACAAATACGACGCAAGTAATCAGATCTATTAGCAACCACACAATAAGCCACAAATGCGGTTGCGTGAAAGTCCTCCGCCAGTGTGTTGAGACGCACTGAAGTTAACCGGAAGGCAAGGTTACCGAATTAAAATACTTTCGATGGGTGTTCAAAGTGAACGACAACATGCGCAACGCCATCGGCAGGGTGCTTATGCCTGCGAGACTGGGAACCAAACCGTGTTCTAGTCCTGCCCGTTAGCTAGACTTCTTTGCAGACTGGAGACAGGTGGTCGGGGACACGCTTGAAGTGCCCGTCCCAGCGCTTCGGTACCGGTGACTTTTTACAGGAGGGTTACGCTGTCCTGGCTGATCGGCTGCACAATCTGGCTGGGGGGTTGTAGAATGTTTTAATTGTCGCAATGAAACTGTTCATTTCGCGGCGGTCAGTGTGTCCTTAAACTTCTCCAGCCTTCTGAGATAGCCCTTATTTTTTGCACCTCCATCCTCTGCTTCTGCATTGACAAGATTTGGCGTCTGTCCTATTGTTTGCGTACGTCGTGTGTAGAATGTGTTTTTCACTGAAAGCGAACGGCAAATTCGTTCTTCGTAACCTTCGAACCAGTTCGGGTGCTAGTGAGGCCAGTTGAAAATGCACCCTCGTCGCCTTCTCCCTCGTCGGAGTTCGGAATAAATTACTATGCAAGAGGACACCATTACTGATGCAGCTGTCGATGCCGTGGCTACCTAGCGTTCCCAGGTAACGTAGTCTGTACCAACATGGACATTGAAATCCTTAAGGAAATTCAACTGGTCTGCCTTCCATAAGCCACCTGGGGAACATACAGGTCCTGGTATGATTTCCTGTTTATGTTGCTGGGGCTGATATAGGAGAGACCTAGGCAGTGATGACGGTGAAGAATCTTTTCCCGGAAAGAGGCAGTCTCCTGATCATAAGGCGATGGTTACTCCCCTGTGGGAGGGAGGGCAGTCGTACCATGACGTTTTTTCAGATGACAAAAGTGATTGCAGTACGCCGGGAAGACGGGTGGCCCGTTAGTTTAGCTGCTGGTCACCCGACGTGTCCACAGGTGGCGAATAGTGGAACGGCCTTCAGTGAAGGTTAGCTGCGAAATAAGCAGACCCAGGTCTTACTAATTAGCAGTCGCGGGCCAGCAGCGACAGTGCTACCAGGGTGCGGAGGGCTGAGGTCTGGCTCACCGAAAATCTTGTAAAAAGCAACAAAGCCAGGTGACGGCATTGTGGCACGGCGACCGTAAACCGCCGTTAAATAATTTTGCCCGTTACCGCTGCCTTGTGGTTAGGCTTTTAAGCCAAAGCGCTAAAGGAGACAACCTCGAACAAACAATCCAAACGGCTGTTGGGGACCCGCCTGTATCCGAAGTTTCCAAAGAAACCTCATGAAATATGTCCGACTACAATAATACGGCCCCTGCTACGGCGTCTATTGGAATCGACGCGCTCCACAACCCCGGTCAAGTGGTGCGGACGAATAGTAGGCGAGCTGGACTACTCAATCGAGGACGGACTCGTGGTATTGGATGCTTGGATGTGCGAACGTTCCTGGACCCCGGGTCCTCAAAGTCTGACCGCGCGCAACCTTCATCAGTACAACGTGGATGTCTGTTATCAGTCTGAAGTTGGATTTCATGACTCAAGCTCTTGAGAAATAAAAATCTCTGGAGTCGAATCACGCTTTACCCTGTACCACGGCGACCCGCGCGACTCTTTCGGTAGAAACAGTGTGGCTATCGCCCTCTCGCAAAAAACGAACCTCGCGTTACCTACTTGGGATCCAGTCAATGACCGGATGGCCTACGTGCGACTGAAGGACCACTTCACGAACATCTCCATCGTTTCTGTAAACGCACCAACTTCAGCTACCGAACAGCGTGATAAGGAGACGTTTTATTCGCAGCTGCAAGCGTTATTTGGACGATTCCCTCGCCGCGATCTGCTGATTGTTGCCGGAGATTGGAAGGGTCGCACTGGACCCGGCAACTCCACAAATAGTCATCTTATTGGCCGCTTTGGTCTGGGTTCTCGATGTGAAGATGGCTTCCTGCATTGCAATAAACATCTGCTGATTTGGTATTCAGACGACGGTCATATGGCCAGTCAGGTTGACTACATTCTAGTCACCCCAAGGTTCCGCAGCTGGGTTCACGATACCAGATCGATGTGTGGTGCTGAGACTGACAACACCCATGGGTCGGACCAAGTCCTCGTTCGTACACGCTTGAAAGTTAACCTCTCATCCGCGCCAAGAATTCTACGTCCTGGACGCATCGATGTCACAGAAATCCAGAAAACCAACACTGCCGAAGCCCTGAGCCGAGAAATCTGGTCCTATTTTACGACCCGAGCCGACAGAGTAGGCAGTAAGCAGTGGTGGTCACTGAAAACGTCTGTCTATGGTGTAGCCGAGAAGATCCTTGGATATGACCAGCGACGCCGCAATGATTGGCTCAGCGGAGGAGCCCTGCAGTTGTCTACTCGAACGACTTGGGCCAGGTTGCGTAATGATGAGTCCTTCCGCCAACTTCGAAAGATGACAGCAAAGTCGGTCAGAGATGACCGGAAGCAGTATTGGGCTGAAATAGCGACCTCCATTGAACAGGCCTCCTAAAGTTAGTGACACTCGAAAACTCTGCTAACTTATCCTCCAAGTTATTGGTAAGCCCTCTACTCTGGGTAATTCTGTTCGCGGCGTGAATGGCTCTTTATTGCAGACAAATCGACCAAAGTCAAGCGCTGGCATGAGCACTTCGAGCACTATCTCAACTTCGATACCCAACATACCTGGTCCTTGATCTCCTCCACAGCTGCGTTTCTTCCCTCGCCAACCTATGCAGTGCCATGCGACCCCCCTTCTAAAGGAGATGTCGCTGATGCCATAAAAAGCTACTCAATAACAAGGCACCCCGACAGGACTGCACACCTGAAATCTACAAGTCTTGTGTCGACATTCTGACGTCCTGGCTCCGTGAGGTGATTGAACAAACGTGGAGAAAAGAGGTTGCCCCTGATGACTGGGGCTTAGGCATCGTTGTACCTATCCTCACGAAGAAAGGTAAGACGACATGTGAGAACTACCGTGGCAAAGCCTAATCCAAATTGCTGCAAAGATCTTCGCTATTATCTTACTAAAGCGATTCCAGGCTGTGCGTGACTCTAGGACAAGGCCCAACCAAGCCGGATTTCGTGCTGAACGTGGATGCGCGGACAACTATTTACACTAAGGCGTATTCTCGAATTTCGCCATAGCTACCAGCAACCGGTGGCCGTCTGCTTTGTTGACTTTGCCGTTGCTTTCGATTTCGCCCATCGTGAGTCCCTCTGGCGTATAATGGCACTAGATGGTGTACCGCCAAAAATCATCGCCATGAGCGAGACCTATTATCATTCCACCACCGCGCGAGTCCTGGTCCGTAACAATCTTCCCCAACCGTTTGGTATTCAGTCCGGCGTTTGATCGAGTTGTATCCTGTCACCCCTTCTGTTCAAATACGCCATTGATTGGATTCTCGGAAGGGTCCTACACGAAGGTGGCGGTGTTGAATTTGTACCCGGACACCGACTGACTGATCTTGACTATGTCGATACTATTGCCTTACTTGCCTCAGGTTTTGGTGATCTGCAGTCTATGGTGCGACGGGTGAACGAGGTCGCTAAATCGGTCAGTTTATCCATGAACAATGGGAAAATTAACGTTTTTTCAAGCTGCATCCCTGACCAGGAGAAGGCACCTCTCGGGATTGACGACGGTCAACTTGAAGAAGCAAACAGTTTTAAATACCTCGCGGTGAGGCTGCTGCCGAATGGGCAGAGTAAGGTTGACATTGTCTCCCAAATTGATGCTGCACGACGGGTTTTCCCACCTCTTAGAAAATGCCTATGGATCCGACGTGACCTCTCCGTCGCCACTAAGATTCGCGTGTACCGTGCACCTGTCCGGTCGGTCCTTTTCTATGGTTGTGAATTCTGGGCTGTGCGTGCGAAGAACGAGCGAAAGCTGGAGGTATTTGACCACCACTGCTTTAGGACCATCCTTCGAGTGAAGTACACCGACTCTGTCTCAAATGAAACAGTCTGCACTCGCTAAGAGAACAGCGCAAGGATAACCAGAACATCAAATAAAGACGACTGAGGTGGTTTGGACTTGTCCTTCGTCGTCCACCTCAGAGGCTCAGTGTTACTTTCCTTGATCCGGCATTGTTATCCCATTGAGGGCGTCGAAGGGGGGGTCGACTTAAAACCTGGCCCGACGCCGTTCGTCAAGATATGGAGGTGGTTATTTTACCTCTGGTGTTCGGTCTACGTCGTTGGCGGAGAGAATGGGTTGGACTGTCAAGATCTGCCGCATATCGTCACGCGTGGAAAGGTACAGTTCTGCTGAACTTTGAGCCCGGAGTTCTGGGTTCGTCCTTCATGACGTATTCCGTGATGGCATTTTCTTCCAAGAAAATCCTTCTTGTGCATGTTGAGCACCTGTTCTATACGATGGCGCTTGTCTCTATTGATATTCTTGAGAGTCTCGGGATATTTTGCGGCCGCTTTCGTGTCTACCAATGCCATTGCCCCATTCAAAGAAACATATTTTAGGTGAAATCACATCGGAAAACGGTGTAATCATCCCTTGCTGGACAGAAAACTGTCAGGAGCTGACGATGGTCCTGCCTCTCCCTGTATGTCGCCCCCCTCCGTGATAGTCGAAATCATCTAGTAGATTTTTTGTGCCTTACCGTGGATGATCTCGCCTTTGAGGGAGATATTCTTCTAACGGCAGTCCGTTATCCACAACAACAAGGCCAACTCCATCCTCATTATGCTCTTGTCACGCATGGCGGAAACAGTCTTAGCACTATCACAAAAGCTAACACTTACGGTCTTCCTTATTTCCGCTTATTTCTCCTTGATGTACCGGACGGAACTCTCATTCACACCAGAATGGCGGACTACCGCGGCGTATCTTTCCCCTTCCTTCAACATTTCCAGGATTTCTTTATTTTCCTGGAGCGTCATGGGTTTGTAGTGACGCTTAGGCTCTTTACCGGAAGTCTTAGGAGGAGCAGAGCGTTTAGGAATCATCTTAAGGCACGGTTAAAAAATAAACACAAAGATTACAAACAAGACACAAAGATATGCATAGTACACAGATATGTAGTGAAACGTTAGAAGAGGAGAGGTCTACGCTGTAAACTGGCAGAGATGAGGGTTCTCGCTGCACACCCACACGAGACAGTCTCATGGGTACAGCCAATCAGCGCCAAGCAAAATGAATGCTGTCCCTGGATTGACTACTTTGTAATCGCCAGCCAATAGCATAGCAAGTAGCATTGCGCCTTGTTATTTCAGTTTCACAAGCTGCGTTCTTTTTCACGGAAGCTTTGGATTTTGGGATTTGCGTATCGTTTGGCAAACGTTTTTAGGAAAGAAATATAAACACATTATTGGTACTTTGCTGTGTTTACATTAATATTTGAAAAGTAGTAAATCATTTTTTCCATCATAAAATATGTACTTGGCCACGAGAATAAATGAAAATGATTGGCGAATATTTCTGGTATGTTCTACGAAAAAAAGAAGTCCCCGAGAACGTTAGTCCTCGAATGCTGAACCGCGAATTGGCGAGGGTCGACTGTTTATTACAGATGGACTTTGCACAGGAAATCAGTGCGCAAACAGCATAGTGCGTGCTGGTCAGTGACATTGCTGATTTCGTATTGAGTTTCTGTGCAACTGGAATTTCAGTTTTCTTCGCTCACACCCTTTCATGGAGTCTGCCGTGCGACCGCAATGAATGAGCAGATCTGAGGTCTTTTTACCTAACGTTAACGTGTCGCCCAACCTCATAAAGCAGGCCCCTCCCATCATGTGCCACTTTCTCGACCAATTTCTTTCTGTCTGTAAGACGCGATCCAGCCTTAGGTCCCCGCCTTCATCGACGGACCCTTTCTCCCTTTTCCCAGCCTACAGCGACCTCATCTATTCGCACATTCAAGTAAAAGTACAGTCTTGTTAGTAATTCTGAAATTCGAATGCCGATAATTTTGAATAAGGTTCTGTGGGAAAGGACTTATGAAATATAGGAGGGCTGCAAAGACTTTTTGAAACGAGTACGGGTGTCCAGGGAATAAGAAGACAAATGGCTTTCTGACTAGCACGGAAATTAATTTCTTTAATAAATTTGAAGCTAACAGACAATGCCTTTGTTTGTGAAGCATCAGGTAGGCCGACTGGTCTTAACTTTTTGAAGATAAAAATCATTTCATTAACATGTTGCTTATCAGCAGTTTCACGAAAATCATTCCCTCTCCAATCCCCCATTATTAGCCATTCCCTGTTTTTGCATATTAGCTATTGTTTCGCTGTAGGAGGTCATATCACGGCCGTTAAAGTCGTAGGTAAACCTTTATTACCTCCAAGCTAGGTTCCCGTTAGGAGGGAAAGGAAGTAGACGTAGGGATAGGCAACGGCCATAAGAACGCCCTGGTAAAAATAACTATAGTTTTTTGGCCGTTTCGTTGGGGTTGGAGCCATCTTTAGTGCTGCAGTCTGAGTTAGAATTTCGGTTTATGACGAACGCAAGTGTTTGTTGTTAAGGTTAATTTTAGGTTTATGGCAAGACCAGATGCTCCGTGTTAGGGTTAGGCCTAGTCCTAACCCTAACACTAACCGCAATTATATAACTAAATCCTACCTTAAATCTAAGCCTTCCCACGTATCCTTATCAATATTTCCAAATCCAAATTGTGAAACCAGCTCTACCCCTAACATTAACTCCTTATGCGACTGTAACCTAAACTCCACCCCTACACTCAACCACAGCTCTAACCCGTCCTCACCCTTTAACGGGGGACTTTGTGTGCCGTCTTTTTCAAGGGCCTTTCAAAGGAGCTTCCAGCCAGAGCAGTGGAAGGGGAAGTACATTTTCAAAGAAGGGATGAAGGGTACTGTGGGTAGGCAGCAGAGGAATTTGTGCTCATGTCACTGGCCTGGTGCTGAACACACGTCAACTTTTTTGGCGTTTCAGCGCATATATTCGTCGGTCTTGGATTTGAGTAGCTAGCGTGGCCGACTGCGACCGAAGTAAACATGCTAGGTCATAAAGGCGTACGCAGATTAGCCTATGGGGGACGAAATTACATCGATTGTCTAAAACTGGTAAGACAGCCACACAGGCGACATTGGCGAGTTACGCATCAGGCAAAGTGCTCCATATAATGAGGCTATGCACATGACTTTCTAGTCTCTGAAGTTGGGTGTGCAAAATAACGTCAGACCTCCAATAAACCTCTCCCGGTGAAGGCTTCTTCCTCTTCTGGTAGGACAGGGCTTTCAAATTGCAGAACTCTTGGGTGCGGACATTGGCGGCGCTCGGTCTGTGCCCTGTAACGCTCGGAATCGAACCCACAGAATCATCCTGATCTGGTCTTTCGCATTGTCCAACATGTACCCGACTGTGACGATATTTCGATGGACTAAATATTTCCCCGTCGACTTCTAGGGAGGACTTATATTTCAGTTGTAAAGTAAAGGACAATTTCCTAGTGACGTCATTCTACACGGGCAAATATAGATTTTAGGCATTGAGTATTTGCACAATGACTGATGATAAAACAACTG